GAGTAGCTGGGATTACAGGCACGCGCCACCATGCCCAGCTAATTTTTTGTAGTTTTAGTAGAGACGGGGTTTCACCATGTTGACCAGGATGGTCTCGATCTCTTGGCCTCGTGATCCACCCGCCTCGGCCTCCCAAAGTGCTGGGATTACAGGCGTGAGTCACCACGCCCGGCCTCTTTTTCTAATTCTTAAGGTGGTGCTTAGACCACTGATTCAAGACCTTTCTTTTCTTCTAATATAAATATCTAATGCTAAAAAGTTCCCTGTAGTCACTATTAGCTGCTTCTCACCTGTATTTATATGTTGTGTTTTCATTTTCATTCAGTTCAAGTTATTTTTTAATTTCCTGTGTGATTTCTTTGACCTATGGCTATTGGAAGTGTGTCATTTAGGCCAGACACAGTTGCTTACACCTACAATCCCAGAATTTTAGGAGGCTAAGGTGGGAGGATCACTTGAGCCCAGGAACTTGAGACCAGCCTTGGCAAAATATGGAGATCCTGTCTCTAACAACAACAACAGCAAAAAGCCAGGCATGGTGGCACAAATTTGTGGTCTTAGCTACTCAGGAGACTGAGGTAGAAGAATTTCTTGAGCCTGGGAGGTCAAGGATATAGGAAGGTGTGATCACACCACTCCAGCCTAGGTGACAGAATGAGACCATGTGTCTAAAAAAAAAAAAAAAGAAATAAAAATATAAAAAGTGTGTCACTTAATTTTTCATTTAAACATTTGAGATTTCCTAAATATCTTGTTGACTTCTAATTTAATTTTATGGTGCCTAGATAAAATTACTTTCTTTTATTCTAACCCTTTTAAATGTATTGAGATTTGTTTTATGCCCTAGCATATGTCTAACTTATAGAATGTTTCATTATATGTTTGACCAAAAAATGTGTATTCTGCTTTTGCTGGTGACATGCTCTCTACACGTTGGTTAGGTCAAGTTGATTGATAATGTTGTTCAAACCCTCTATATACCTACTGATTTTCTAATTGTTTTATAAATTGATACTCCAATTGTTTTATAAATTGATACTCCAAGAGAGGAGTATCAACATACCAACTATGATTGTTCAACTGAATTGTTTATTTCTGCATTCTCTACCGTCAGTTTTTACTTTCTGTATTTTAGGGCTCTTTACTAGGTGCATTTAGGTCTATTATTGTGTATCTTCCTGATTTTGCTCCTTAGGGACATTTGGAAAAGTCCGGAGACATTTTTGGTTGTTGCAACTGGGGAAATGCTGTTGGCACCTAGTGGCTAGAAGCCAGAGATACTGCTTAGCATTGTGCAATGCCCGGACAGGCCTCGAAGCAAAGAATTATTCAGCTCACAATGCAGGGACTGAGGCTGAGAAACCAAATTTCTTTTAATACTTAAAACATAAAGCTCTGGCAATTTTTAAAGAATAAATGCTTCTCAGTTTTTGGTCTGCCTTTGGTTCATTTTCAGATGCCTGAAATGTTTATTTTTGTCAGTTTTTTCTAGTTTTGTGTTTGCTTTTGAGGATGAGGATTTGCAGATAGCTTCATAACACCACAAAGATGGACGTCTGTCTGTCCTTTAACATTTACTCTTTTGGTGCCTTTATATTTAAAGTAAGTTTCTTGTAGGTAGCATTCAGTTGGATCTTTTTTAAAAAATGCAATCTCACAATGTTTACCTTTTAATTTTAATTAATATTTAGACCATTTACACTTAATATAATTATTGATAGAGTTGAGATTAAATCTATTTTGTTTTGTGTTTTGTGTATTTCTCTTTTTCTGCCCTTTTTTGGATTATTTTTTGTGACTCCATTTTATCTTCACTATTGGCTTATTAGCTACACCTCTTTATCTGATTTTAGCAACTGTGTTTAAATATATGGCTTTAACTCATCAAAGTCACAGTATACCTTTAAATAATATTATACAACCTCATGTATATTACCTCACTTATGTGTGTGTGTGGTGTGTGTGTGTGTGTCTGTGTGTCTGTGTACTAGCACCTAACAACAGTATGCTAACATTTCCTCCCTCTTGTCCCTTGTGCTACTGTTGTGGTTACTTTTTTTTATACAAAAGTTATAAACCTACCATATGTTCCTGTTATTTTTGCTTTAAAGAGTTCATCTTCATCATCTTTTAAAGAGATTGAGAGTTAGAAAAAAATCTTTGTTTACCACATGTTTACCATTTCTGCTGCTTTATGTAGATCAAAATTTCTATTAGATATCACTTTCCTTCTGCCTGAAGAGCTTCTTGAACATTTCTTGTCATGTAAGCTTGCTGCTGCTGATTTCTCTCTGCTGGTTTTGTCTGAAAGAGTCTTTACTTCTTCCTTTGCCTTTTGAAAAATATTTTCATTAGCTTTAGAATTCTAGGTTGATGGTTTTTTCTTTCAATACTTAAGAGCTGGATGAGATAATAGAGGAAGTTTTTTTTTGTTTTTGTTTTTGTTTTTTCCTTTAAAAGTCATTTATTTGATCACAAAACAGGTGAGGAGCATGGGCATTGCCTGTAACCCGTTGCCCATCTTCCCAGTAGTCTATGCTTCTATAAATACCCTCCGTACAACAAGAAGCTCATGCTGTTCCCAAGCACGTGCACATTCTAACAGCTGTAGAGTATAGTGCATGACCAGGTGAAAGTTAGATGTCCCAGTCACAACTAAAGCCCCTCCAATTAGTCTTCCGGATCCTTTTGCTAATAGTAACTGGTTGCTGTTCCTATTGGTCATAGATGAATCACACCTGCACAATTCTGAGTGCTTTCAAGTAACCTCGGCAAGCAGTGACTAGACCCTTTCCTTGCTCCGAGCTTCCTATGTCCCAGGTTGCCTGTGGCACCCGGACTGCTGCTGCCCCTGGGTCCCGCACATTCCATGGCGACGATGGAGGAAGGCAGGTCAGGCCAAGCATGAGGAATTAACAGTCTTTATTGGGCTCAGACCAGGAGTCCATGCGTCTTGAGGACCTCTGTGTATTTGTCAATTTTCTTCTCCACGTTCTTCTCGGCTTGTTTCCGTAGTCTCATGAGCTGTTTCTTCTTCTGGCAGGGGATCTTGGCCTTCTCCTTCCTCTTCTCCTCCAGGGTGGCTGTCACTGCCTGGTACTTCCAGCCAACCTCGTGAGCCAGGCGCCCCAGATAGGCAAACTTCCTTGTAGGCTTCAGACGCACGACCTTGAGGGCCGCAGGAAACACCGCCCGCTTTTTCTTGTCGTAGGGCGGTGGGATGCCGTCAAACACCTTGAGGCGGTCCAAGGCCGCCTGGCCTCGCTTGCTCTTGTGGGGCAGCATGCCTCGCATGGTCCTCCAGAAGATGCGGCTGGAGGCCTGGAAGTGGTAGGGGCCTCGGGAAGGGTTGGTGTTCATCCACTTGCGGAGGAAAGCCAGGTACTTCAACTTGTTTCTGTAGAAATTGCCAGAAATGTTGATGCCCTCGCAGCGAACGACCACCACCTTCCGGCCCAGCAGTACCTGCTTAGCCACGATGGCTGCCAGGCGGCCCAGGAGATGGCCTCG